ATAGAAGCTGGCAAGTCCAAAGTTCCTGGATCAAACGTCAAGCTGCAGGCTTTTCCACATCAAGCTGGAGGCTTTTCCTGACTCTTGCAGCCACAGGGGCTGAGGAGCTCAAGGCTGGCAGGCAGTACACTGGCTGTTGACTCCAACAAATGACAAATCCAAGATCTCCAGGCCAAATGGTGGATTATTCACTCATGGACAGTTGTAGGCAGCACAACAGAATCCCAATCCACAGAAGAATGTCTCTTTGCCCGGAATGTCCATAGATATACTGGAAACAGGCCACACCCCTAAGGAAACTCCCTTTCAACAGATTGCCTGCTCAAAACATAAATCGTCTGATCCCATCATGGGAATAACCACATTGAATTGTGGTCCAGCCAAGTTAACACAGCTCCAACTATCACAGGTCAGCTCTACTCTGAAGAGGCAGCTCTTCCCGAGTTGTATTTTGAGTGCCTTCTGACCTGAGGGAATCATCTTCTGACACTGTATTGGACAGTGTTTCAGGGCTATTCATAAAGTTTTCCAGTAATATATGAGACAGTGTTTCACTGCTATTTGTAAGGTTTTTATTGGCCAGTTCTTTGAGAAGTGGATAGTCTCTTCCTTCTTCTGAGTCTGTCTTATTCTGGAAGCGCCACTGAAATCTGTCCATGATGGGTAACCCTGCTGGCATTTGCAACACTGGTGACATAGCCTTCAGCCCTATGGCAACATGCAAGCCACCACAGGACGACAAACTAACAGACAAGTTCATGTCCCTTAGTTGGTCCATACATCTCTGTTCACTTCTAGGCCTCTCTTAAAGCTGATCCAAACCCCACATTCAGTTCTCCTTCTGGGCCTCCCTTAAAGTTGCTCCCTTAAAGGCTGCTTTCAAACACACCTGCACCTGGCTCACTTACTTCTGGGCCTCCCTTAAAGGCTGCTTCCAGTGATAGGATAATATCCATCTGCCTACAAGGAAGACCAGTTAATACTACTGTTATTCAAATTTATACACCAACCACCAAAGCCAAAGATGAGGAAATTGAAGATTTTTACCAAGTTCTGCAGTCTAAAATTGACCAAACATGCAGTCAAGATGTGTTGATTATCACTGGTGATCGGAATGCAAAAATTGGAAACAAAGAAGAATCACAAGGAATTGGAAAATATACCCTTGGCAATAGAATAACTCTGGAGAATGCATGATACAATTTTGCAAGACTAACAACTTATTCATTGCAAATACCTTTTTTCAACAACACAAATGGCAGCTATACATGTGGACTTCTTCAGATGGAGTACACAGGAGTTAGATTGACTACATTTGTGGCAAGAAGCAATGGAAAAGCTCAATATCGTCAGCCAAAACCAGGGCAGGAGCTGCTTGTGGA